ATCCAACAACGTATAGTTCAAACAATCAAGTAGTTACTGTAGTGCCATTTTATAATACACAAACGCTTTTAAGTGCATGGTCCATCATTCTATAAGTATCTCAGAGTTACACAGTATTTTGAGAGCTCAGCTCGGACAGGTTTCCTTTTAAAAACGAGTAGCGTCAAAAATCCTTAACTAAGCTCCGCTAACCTCAAAATAGCACGTCTCATACATCAAACTATTGCAATTTACTGAGATACCAATGAAGCTTGCGGCCTAATTTCATCTCTGAATGTGCGTTRTTTGGGGTATGAGCAGAGCTTTACAGCTTTTACAGCTTATTCGTGGCTTTTGTGAGTAACTGTCTTTTGTCTTTCGTTTAGCAAATATTTTTTATAAATTTTATTTATCTTTATGTTACGTTACTATTTCAATATGTATGTATGTATTCATGTTTGTATATGTTTACTATCGGTGTTTACGGTTCATTTATTCTTTTAAAAAATAAACTTGTTTTTGTTTTCGCTAAATCTGTACAGCGCAAAGCATACTTAACTCACAAATGCCCAAAATGAATGAGCTTTAATGGCGCTCACACGTTATTATATCTTAGCCTATTATAATGCTAATGTTGTACACGTAGTATTTGCTCGCTGACTTTAATAGGTGGGCTGTTGGTATTCCATGCCTTGCTGCTCCATGCCTATTTTATAAAAAAAGAAAAACACAAATAACAGTAATTGATAAGAATCCAAATTTTTGCAAAAAAATGATGGTCCAATACATATTTAGCCGACAAATAAAAAATTTGGAAAAATTGGGAGTTACTGCTCAACACGGTTTCCTTGTAGCTCGATACATTAAACCAAAGATGGGCCTGGTAGTGAACAAGGCCAAAACGAAATATCTCCTGTCAATAAGCAAACAGCGATCGCACTCGCGATTTGGCTCGCACGTCACTATTGTTAGTTACAACTTCGAATTCGTAGCTCATTTCGTCTATCCTGGAACYAGCATGAACACCAACAACAATATCTGCCTTGAAGTTCAACGCAGAATCACTCTTGCCAACAAGTGCTACTTTGGAGTGGGTAGGCAATTAAAAAGTAAATTCCTCTTACAACGAACAAATATAAAATTCTAAAACTCACTCATCATTCCCGTCMTACTATATGRTTTGGAGGCATGGACCATGACATCATCTGATAGCACAGTACAACAGCTAATCGGGGGAGTGAGAAATTCCAAGTCAGGGAGATGGTAMTAGGCGAAAAAACATCAAGACAAGGAAAAAATTTAAAAGGTCATAAAAAAAACTGACACATACGAACGACAAAACCCTTTGAGGGTTTTACTACACTGACCTATTACCATCACCCTGACTTGGAATCTCTCACCCCCCAGACAATAATCCCAAAAACGTTCCACAAAATTTTACGAACGATTTATGTCCTTTGCGCATTGGCAACGGCGAGTACCGGAGTCGATGAGCTGTASGAGATATACGGCGGTATTTTCAAACTGTAACAGCTTTTGGCGAGTCATAAAACTTGATGAGGTCTCGCATTATTCTCCCTGGGTACTTCACTCAATTTGTCCACCTGATCACAATACACTTCAGAATAAATCGTGGTATTGTCGGTCAAGAGGTTGAAATAAACAATCTATTTGAAATCGCACCAAACAGACAGCATTAGCTTTTTTTGTGACTATCGGGATTAGGAGTGGTTTGAGCTGGTTCATCCTTCTTAGAGCATGATCTCTTGTGYTTTACATTYTTGTAAACAACCCGCTTTCCGTCGCCAGCAATAATACGCTTCAAAAAATTTACCACTTCTTTGGCGTTTGATAAACAAATCATAGTCATTATGAAGCAAATTTCCTTCTCGAACAACTTTTATATTCACATCAGCTTCAAGAATCCTTCTAGGTTGGGATGCATTCTCAAGATTAAAGTTTCTGGCACGAAAGTTTGGTATTCTGGTTCTGTCAAGGCTTTCGCCTTACCGACCGATAGGTCAGTYTTCGCCTTCTTTGGAGCGGCGCTATTTGTATTTTCCTCTGTGCCTTCAGATGGTACGCAAACAATATCAAGCTCTGCTGTGAAGTTAACGGCTCAATACTTTGTAGATCACACCTTCTTAATCCAAGAAAACGATGGCTATTTTTACTTCATCTGAGCTTTTGGATTGCGCAGAAACAGCGTCAAGCACTGTTATGAAATGGTCTTACGATTTCACTTTTCGTCCTTAGTCCYTAGTTGAGATGTCTCAGTTATCTCATATATCTTCAGTCCAAGGTCTCCTAATATTTCTAGTGAGCGATCCAATACTTCCAAGATCACACGTTTTATCCAAGAAAACGATGGTTTTCACCTTACCGGCCGATAGGCCAGTCTTCACCTTCTTCAGAGCGGTGCTATTTATATTGTTTCTTTGTCTCTTTTTTTGTGCCAGTGACACTTCTTCGGCATGCGCAGAAACAGCGTCAAGTACTGATGTGAAGTGGTCTCGGGGTTTCACTTGTTATCCTCAGTATTCAGTTGAGATGTCTCAGCTATCTCGCAACCTTCAATCGGTGGGAAACTAATTAATAATGGTCATAATCAAGACAGAAAAGTCTCTGAATTGAACATCTCCAAGCCTTTGATTAAACTGCGATTTTCTTCCAAAAATAAGAATCGAAAAACCGATCGATATTGCTCGTTTTACATTTTTCTAAAATCCGCGGGCATGCGAGGTCAAAATAAAACTACGACTCGGATTCGGCATAAATTTTAAAAGTAGCRTCTACGAGAATGACATACAGTAGAGTAACTTTCAGGTGAGCCTGATATTTATTGCACCACCTCCATATATATAAATATTTATACCCTACCTTGTTGTTGTTGGCCACTAAACGGTGACGTGCTGTATTGATCATTGTCGTTGTCCATGGAGTAGCTTGTGTATGCTTGCTGATGCACTACGTTCGCTGGATCTGTTTCAAAGGCGGATGTGAATTCATCACCGGCGCCGATCAGAAAACGTTTGTAGGCGAGAAAAGCGCAGAGTGCCTAAATAAAAAACAGTATTATACCATATAACAAACTTCAATGTACGAGTACGTAGAAAAATAAAAGAGTATGAAATAAGTTACGAAATAAAAACATCTCTAAGGGATAGCAAACTGACATTTACTGAACTCGGAAGATTGGTAAGGTATGAAAGAGAGACAGGATTATTCTCTTAAAGAAGCTAGCTACAAACTACGAATGACAACAGCTATTTCAAATCAAGGTTATGGGACTAACAGCTAACGATATCGAAATGAACTTACTTCACGTATGTGTGGTTATGGTATGGTTTAATGTTCGATCCTGTGACAAAAGCCAATWAGGATCGCACTTAACCAACTGAGAWWATCGGTATATTGTGATACCCAAAAATTCCTACATATTGAACGTAAAGATGCCGATAAATCGACAAAGGGTTCTGAGCCTGTCAAAATTTAATTGAGGCAGCTAGATCGATTTCGTCTATATCACCAAATTCCCCGAAGGTATAACTGGCGAGATGTTTCAATCTYAGTCTTRCAAAAGGTAAATTGTGGAGGAGAAGGTGCCTGGTTATTTTTAACTCACTTTCATCCATAAAACTTTGACAAATTGCATCCGACTATGTTCWGTAAGAACTCTTACGATTGCAGCAAGATAAATTTTGCTTAGTGGATTTGCTAAGTGGATCTTCTGCACTCTTCTCTAAGCCAGTAGGATATTGTGACCACACAGAAGCYAGTTTTTACGTGGAGTCCATAGGTMCAGCRYYAGAACRCARGAGRACTACGGAGACTCAGCTCGTAATAATTCTCTCTTTGGAACTCATCGACTTTGAAGTTCCTGAAATTTCGCTAGAACAAGGCATCTAAATGAGTCTGATTATAATGGCTTATTGAGTCTGATTATAAATGGCTATTTCGATAGGAAGGAYTTGACTAACTTTGCGTGCATAGTGAGCGAGCTTAGCTCCAGTAATGTCACTTTGTTATCGGAGTGAATTCTCAATTTTCTGAAAGATTCTATTATTCAGAGCAATATACTACTTTTATGGCGGCCACTTCTGCATTAAAAAACACTGTAATGATTCGTTAGCCTAAAACAAAACTGGCCCTACGTCAACACGAGGCGATCACGATTGGGTCAAATTTCGGAAGGAAAGTTGAAGCTAGAGTTTTCGTTAGCCTAAAACTTAACTTTACGTAGAGCTGCCTTTCGAGATTCGACCTATCCATGTGCGCCTGCTCTCCAGAGACTTCTTCCCGTCCACAAACTCGCTCGACGAACRAGCAGAGACAAATGTGTAAGCCAGGTGTAATCTCTTAGACGCTTTAAGAAATGTAGTAAAAAAGGAAATTTTTGGAATGTCTCTGCTTAAACTCTTTCATGTACAYAAAATCCCTCAGCCGTACTGCGACCTCCGCAGCTGTTTTTTTTCTCAATTCCTAACCTCATTAACCTTCTCTGGTRTTTAACTTTTTTCAATTCCTAACCTTCTCTGATACTTACATAATATCAGAATTGATATTCACAAAATTGACTATGTATGTATGTGRGTTTCAGAGCTTGAAAAACATTTGCTAAACACTTTTTTACTTTGGGAAAAGTATTTAAATTTGGAAGTCCTACAAAGGCTGATAATAACTTTTTTTTATAGATTAATTAAATAAATTCTATAACGAAACTATGGAAAATTGTTAGCAGTTACATTCTCTTTTACTCACCCACACAAAAATCGAGAAAAATGAGAAAAAGATTGCCGCTTCCATATTACTAGAGCCAACACCACCTGGTGGCATAGGCGCAGAGGACCACTGCGACCACAAGTACACAAACGAAATGAAGTACATGAAGGCCCAGAATGCTAAAAGCAAAATACAATATAAAAATTATTATTATTTAACACAAATCACAACGCTGGGTTARAGCCTTCTCTCAAAACGAAGTCACAGCAATTCACACTCACCTGAGAATCCCATATCCGCCATCACATAACGTTTCCGGCTCTTCACCGATGACATACGTTCGAACAGGTACTCACCAACGATGAAGGCCATCGACGCCAGAAAACCGAATACACCGATTGTATTGCCATATTTGCATGCCATGGCATCACCATTGTACAGACACACCTCCTTGCCATTCTCGTCGGTGCGCCAACCCTCCGAAGAAATGCAGCCAAAGACAACGATGGAAAAGAGCTGAAAATAAAATGAAAATTGAGCATAGAGAATAGAGAAATACTGCTTGTATTGTAGGTATGTGTGTTTTATGGGTACGTGTGTGTGTGTGTAGAAGAGCGTTAGATGATACGTGATAATTATTATGTAAGCGCCGCCTGAATGAATTTTCAATTAAAAATTCTCATTAAGTGTGTATAATGTTAAAAAATTGAAAATGTAATGTGACTTTGCAAAATTAATTAACCCTGCACATTAAGTTCATCACTTTCACGGGACACTGTACAAACGTATGCACATATTTATGGTATAATAAGGTTTATTATTTTATTTGATATTTATATATACTATACATACATATGTACATATATGCCTTCTGCATACTCTGATAACTTTAACCTTCACAAGTGGCAAGCCAAATGMCACACGCTCGGTTGTCCTTAGTGAAACAACTATTGAATATTGACTATTCCTGTCATGTAGCACCTTGACCCATTTCCCCAGCGACCGCACACAACACAAACACTCAACTCGGCATTTCATGCAATCCAATTGAAGTCATGAAAATTTAYTTTTATTATGCTCAAATGCAATATAAATTTCCATAGTAGAATTTGTACGTGCACACTTCATAGCGTCAAGATTCCAAGAAAAAATTAAAACTTATTGCACTTAAATCAACTATGAGTTRTACGAACGAAGTTTCTTCAGGGGCGATAGTAATAGGAATTGAACTTTGGCTGCAATTAAGCTTAATGCGTTTCGTAGGTGCATTTGTTATAGCTATTATATATATATGTATTTATTGTATATATGTATAGGTTATGTTAGGTTAACATGGTACTCTAAAGAGCTATGCATAGACTACTTTTTATCTTTTTGCGATACCAGTTAGAGTTTCGTTAGGAAGTATATGAGGAGTAGTCATCYTTTAGCATGCTTGACGCTAATTTGAGCAGATCCTGTGGCCTCGCAAACGATACCTCTTCCAGTTTCTCTTATTGTGTTGCACACAAATACTGTATACGACGCCTTACAGTGCTGATTACCCGCAGGAAAAAAAGCAGAAAATGCTACTTGAAGGCAATAATATAACAACTCAGCAGTCATTAAAATACCTAGGYGTKAYAATWGACACYTGGTTTAACTATTAAACGCRTATTGAAAAAGCATGTGCAAAAGCGACACGAAAAACGGTGGGACTATCGAGGATGATGGCTGATATTGGAGAACCAAGCCAGGGCAAGCGAGCACTATTGACTAAAGTCAGCCACTCGGTGGCTAGATCGATTTCGTAACGTACGCGGGGGCCATATGGGGGCCAGCAATKCAAAATAAGACATACAAGCCGCGCTCTAAAGTAAACAGGACTTAAAAAAAAACGGAAAAAATGTTTTTTTCGGCAAAATCAATTTATTTCATTCAAAATAGTCACCTGCTGCTTCAATACAGCTTTTTGCACATTCCAAAAGCATGTCGTGCGAGTATTTTAGATCGCCATAAACTTGTTTCATCAATTGAAACGGTAAAAGTTTTACCAATTTTAAAACAAAATTTAAAGTTGGCTCTTTGTTCGAAGCTCATTTTCGCATTGATAACACAAACATACTGACATTTAAAACGTAATAACTTCACTTCCAATCCATAAAATGTCATGAAACCACTCACTCACTGGACAATCGATAATGATAGCAGATTCTAACGCACCAGTCGATATATGGATGCCGCCACTAGGGGGCGCTAGATTCGTGTTTACTTTGGTACGCACCTTGTACGTCAAGAAAGCAAGATCTCTATTGGTGTCGCACGAGGCAGCTGTAATCATAGCGGGTATCACTCCATCGGACATAATGACAATAGAGCTGAAAAGAGTGTATAAAAAATCAAGAAGCGTTGGAAGGGGTCTTACAACAGCAGAAAACAAGAAAAGGCAGGAAAGTATATGTGAGTGGCAGAGGCGATGGAACGTATAAATTAATCAAAAAGGTGAAAGCATGGGTGAGAAAAAAAACGGCGAGACTGATTACCGCATACCGAACACAGATGCTTCTGACTTCGATTCACAATAACGGAATAGAATGTTCCTGCAGTGATGGCAGCGAAAACGCGCAGCATATTTTCTTWTACTGTTCGAAACTMGAAGCAGAGAGGAATGACTTGGAAATTATTACCAATAAACGTGTGAATACAGAGAATATTGTGCACCACATAATACATAGTGTGGAATAAAGTTAAGAATTGATCCGCAATTGCTCTTCAGGAACTGAGAGAAAACAAAAGGCAACGTTGTAGCCAGAAAAAAAGAAGTGGAAAAGAGTAGTTCAGAAAGGTGGCCATGAAGAGCTAACTTTGGCTGAGCCTTGTTCTGCGAAGAAATGCTTATCGGCAGTCTCGTAGGGTTGGTTAACTGTAGTCGGAGTTGGGGTTTAGTACGTAAGTAAAATGTTAGGCAAGTTAAGCATGGTATGATAATTTATACAGAACGTGGTCCCGAAAGAGATGTACCCTTAGCATGCAGTATGAATCCTACATGCTGTCTTGGACTGAGGGTATCTATGAAAGATAGCCCCCTTGGAAAAGAAAAAAATCTTGCCAACGCGAGACAATTGCACAAGAGATGCAAAATACTCTTCCTGAGAAGAAAATTCTGTAGTCGTCTCGATTTGTCAGCCCCATTTTACTGGCGTATGCCTCCACCTGACTGAAACCAGTAACAGCCGTACACCACTCTTTTCTATCTCCTTCATTAACTTAATGCTTCCGATTGCCTTTGTGCCCTGACACTCAGTTGATGTGAATTCGCTTGCTTCTGGCGACACTCTCCAATGCTGCTCTGCATTCCGAGACACTTCTGGTCGCTATGCTGCTTGGCTTTCCATGTAGATGTTGACTCTGGTGTTGTCTGTTGATGCATGAGAGGTTAGCTCCGCGACTTTCTCAATAGCAAAGACGTCTCTTTGAAATACATATACTGCAGTGGTCGAGCAGACTGACTTTCCTGTGAAAAACATACCAACACTTGTTTGCTTCTTTTCGTTAACAACACTGATTTCATCAATTTCTAGAAGATTTATTTCAAATATCAAAAATGTCTTGTATAAGGAGCACGGAGCGGTACATTAAGACACAAATACTAAACTCACGACAATCACGTATATTTAACCGAAACATATCCGGTTCTAGACTGTCAACGCTGTAGTATTCGTTCGTAAAAGAAAATATTTTCTAACGTTCCGCAACTACAAAATCCCTAACATTACTATATACTTATAACAAATTATTACATAACTGCCCAGACACGGCATCAAACAACATTTTAAGGCAGTCTCTGCATTGTAAAATTATAATAGTTATACCCTTCGGTAGATAGCAATCGAAATAATAATAGAAAGCGGTATAGTACTATCCTTCAGGCAAAACTTTTAATTAAAGAGCAGACAACCAAGCAAAGAATAATCTCGCTTCGCAAGCTGGTACGATCACAACCATATGTTTGCTCAAGTTTCCAACAAAAACTCAATGTTATCAACCGTGACCAAGAGTCACTTCAATCAAAGCATCAATGTACATAATAATGAATTTTCACGTATCAAACAATTTGGCGAGCTTTCTTTACACAGTCACGAGCGCATGGAAAGCGCTAAATATAAGCAATTAAGAGTTTTTCGCACAATTTGCTACATACTATACAGTATGATAAGGTGTTTTTTAAGATGTTTCGAATTTTATAAAAGACTTTCAAAACAACTATCTATAAAAAAAGAGTAACATTGTAAGTAAAAGTACATTGTTCCCGGAAATTGTTAATAAAAAGCAGAATATTAAATTATTTATGAATATTTMTTTTGTCGCCTTTTCCAATCCTCGAAACACTTTTTATAAGCACTTTTGGGAAGGCATTCAGCTCTTTGCGCGAATTTTGCTATATAGAAGTATTTTCGATAGATCAGTTCAATTTCAGTTTTGGGAACAAGAAAAAATCACACGTAGCCAAATCTGGTGAATAAAAGGTTGATCAATTATTTTCATTGCATTTATGGCCTTAAGTTCGGTCACAATTGTGGCTCAATGCGATGGTGCATTATCATCGTGTAAAATCCTTGAATTGTTCTTCCACAATTCCGGCCTTTTTCGACGAATGTTCTCAGGCAAAGGCCTCAATCCGATGATTGTTGACTTGTTGACATGCCAAACTCACGAACGCATCTCTTTTAGGCAGTTATACTGCTTTTCTAGAATGTGTGATCGGAATTCGCACGATCAAGCATATCCAAAGAGGCCTGTTTACGGTATTCGTTTCGAAAAAAAAATTCAGCTTTATTAGGACGAGTCAAGCAAGAATGTGTTTCATACCCCAAATAATCACCAAAATGATTCGAACGAACTCGTAAGGTTTCTTGCCATCTCTATATCACTTGCCTGTCAATTTTCAAGCACCAYATCCTTCACTTTTTTAATATTTTCAGCAGTTAAAGAGCTCGAAGGTCGTCCAGAATGAGACATGTCTTYAACGATCTCTCGATCGTYTTGTCTTTRAAGGCTTTRTACCACTCGTAGACTTGTGTTTTTGATAAGACCGAAYCACCGTAAGCCATTTCCAACTGAACTGATTTTTAGCATAGAATCTCGAGTCAAACCATTAAGACTGACTGAGTTCAAAAAAAGTGATGAAAAATTTTAATGGTAGAACAAAATTTACTCTAATACTTCTATACCCATAAAAAAAAAGCACCCTATTATCAGCAACAATAAAAATGTTACAGTTACAAACCCTCATATATCTATGTACTTGTAACTACCCACTGCTCGGCTATATGATAAATGCTACACACGCCCACTACTAACCAAGTGGATTACCCCCACTATCCACCAAGCGATACCAGCTGCCTTCATTTTTACGTCACCACTACTTCTCTTGCCCTACGCATTGTCCAATGCCCACACAATGGCTATTCGCTCTTCCGCTTATTGTCGGCCAAACCAGCGTTGTCGCCTCCATTCTTATCGCCATCGCCATTGTAATGCGACGTAGAGTAATGGAGGAATGTCGCAAAAAATCTTCTGCTCTACTTATTTTTGCTGCTATTTAGACATGTTCGCTGCAATAAGTAGTAGGAAGTAAAGCATGGCAAAGGAAAGGAAACAATTCAGATACATGTACATATGTTTGGGAACTAATACTACTACTAAGCTATATATGTATATGTGTCTGGGAAATAACTGCAGAAAGTGCTCGTGCGGCGATTATTGCTATAAGGCGAGTCATGGTATGCCATTATTGGATATTTGAAAGCTGTTGGCAAGGAAACAAAAAAAAAAAAAACGCATAACAGACATAAAGAATACAAATGCATTAACATAAAAAGTGAATGCGAACAATGAGCAGTAGTACCGGGAAACATATTCAAAATAGAGGCCAACATAAGACGGTAAATATATAACTGTACTTGCTTACAGTTATACATGTGTATTAATGCATTCTTATGTTGAACCCCGTGTGTATGAATACTTAAGTGTGTTCCCTTATTTTTCTACATTTAGAAAGTAAAATTTTTCAAACAGAATACGTTTTAGGTTATAGACGATTTTGTAGCATTTATAACTTATCTGATTGATCTGCTCATACCATAATAGTGGTTTTGAGTGCCTTTCCGCGAAAGTCTAAGGTCTACGAAACTGGAGGGGAACAGGTATAAATTGTGACAAAAAAGCACTCGGAAATTGTAATAAAATTCCCAGGTAAATAATATTTCTAAAAAAGTGTATTTTGCTTAGTTGGTAAGACTGTCCTTAATTACCATGAAAAATATGTGCGTTCAACAGCAGCTGCTTAAGTCGGTACTCCCCTGTAGTGCGATGCATTTTTTTCATTGGATAAAAATATCGATCAACGAATTTGTCTCAAGTTTTSTATTTCTAGCCAAATTTTAAGTGCGGAATCGTTGCTAATGTTGGTAAAGACTAATGGTGATTCAGTTTTGTCAAAAACACAAGCTTACGAATGGGACAAATTCATCAAAGACGGTCGAAGGATCGTTTGAAGACATGCCTCGTTCTGGACGCCCTTCGACCTCTGCAACTGATGAAATTATTAAAAAAGGTGATGCTTGAAAATCGTCAGACAAGTGTTAGAGAGATGGTAAGAGAGCTCGACATCAGTCGCGAGTCAGTTTAAATGATTTTGTTGGATATTTTGGGTATGAAAATCGTTCTTGCTCGACTTGTCACGAAAAAGCTGAAGTAAACAGTTCTACGTGATCATGCGTATTCTGATCTCACATCCAAATATGTACTATAAATGCCATTGGGGAATGGATTTATGACTCTAAGGGTATTGTCATTATATTTTTCGGTATTCGTGGGAGTCAATAAGGAGTTCATTTTGGCCATTGAGGCGTTTGCTTAAAAATGCCCGAAATTTTGGAAGAACAGTTCTTGGATTTTGACAAGCACCATCGCATTGAGCTACGATTTGCGGCCGAATTTAAAGCCAAAAACATAATGAATACCATCGAACAACCAGCGAATTGTCTAAATTTATTTTTGGTAATTTTTTTTGATCTCCAAACTGAAATTGCCGCTCTGTGCATACCGCTTTCAGTCGACCGAAGAGATAAAACATAATTCGCATGAAGGAGCTGAAGGTCATCGCAAAAAATGCTTATGGAAAGTGTTTCGAGGACTGGAAAAATCATTGGCATAAGTGCATTGTATCTGCTATCCGCCAAGGCGCGCAACAATTACAGCTATGCCCATCCACTTTATGGAAGATTTTGCGGAAGGATCTTGTTTCGCGGACTTACGAAATCCAACTCATATATGGATTGAGCCGAACGACCATTAAGCGCG